ATTTGACAATAAATTTCATATAAAAAAAATAAAAAAAAATAAAAAAAAAAAGAATTAACATTATAAAAATATCCATACTACCCAAAGAATTCTATAGATTCAATGCAATCCCTATCAAAATTCGAATGGCATTTTTTATAAAAATAGAACAAACAATCCTTAAATTTGTATGGAACCAGAAAAGATCCTGAATAACCAAAGCAATCTTGAAAAAGAAGAACAAAGCTGGAAAACTCATGGTCCATGATTTCAAACTAGCATAGTCCCCCCTTATCCACAGGGGATACATTCCAAGCCTTCCAGTGGATGCCTGAAACTGTATAGTACTGAACTTTGTATGTACTATGTTTTTTCCAACACATACATACCTGTAGTAAAATTTATTTTTTTTTTAATTAGGCACAGTAAGAGAGTAATAACAGTAACTCAATAAAATAGAACAATTGTAACAATATACATAATAAATATATGTGAATGTGGTCTTTCAAAATATTGTACTATACTCACCCTTCTTCTTGAGATGATGTAAGATGATAAAATGCCTGTGATGAGATGAAGTGACGTGAATGATACAGACATTATGACATAGCATTAGGCTACTACTGACCTTCTGATGATAGAAGAAGGATCATCTGCTTCCAGGTGATGGTCATCTGTGGGTAACTTAAACTGCAGAAAGTGAAACTGTGGGGGGGGGGGGACTACTGTATATTACAAAACTGTAATAATTAAAACAGTATGGTTCTGGCATAAAAACAGACACACAGACCAATGGAACAGAATAGAAAGACCAGAAATAAACCCACACATATATGGTCAAGTAATGTACACAAAAGCAGCCAAGAATATATAGTGGGGAAGGGACAGTCTCTTTTGGTGTTGGGAAAACTGGATATCCACATGCAAAAGAATGAAACTTTTGCGTGGATCCCTATCTTGCACCATACACAAAAATTAACTCAAAATGGACAAAAACAGAGGCAGTAAGTTCCTTGACGTAGGTCTTGGCAATGATTTTTTGTATCTGACACAAAAAGCAAAAGCAACAAAGGCAAAAATAAGTGGGACTACATCAAACTAAGACCTGCACAGCAAAGGAAACCATCAAAATCAAAAGACTATCTATTGAGTGGGAGAAAATATTTGCAAATAATATTATCTGATAAGGAACTAATGTCCAAAATATATAAAGAACTCATACAACTCAAAAGCAAAAAATAAAATAAAATAAAATTTTAAAAAAGGGCAGAAAATCTGAATGGACATCATTCTGAAGAAGACATACGGATGACCAACAGGTACATGAAAAGATGCTCAACGTCAATAATCATCAAGGAAATGTGAATCAAACCCACGATGAGATATCACCTTAGACCTGTCAGAATGGCTATTATAAAAAAGACAGGAAATAACAAATGTTGGCAAGGATGTGGAGAAAAGGGAACCCTTCTGCTCTTATGGTGGGAATGTAAACTGGTGCAGCCACTATGGAAAATAGTTGGAGGTTCTTCAAAAATTTAAAGGTAGAACTACCCTATGATCCAGCAATTTCACTTCTGGGCATTTACCCAAAGAAAATGCAAAGAGTAACTTGAATACTTCATTGCAGTATTGTTTACAATATGGAAAAACCTAAGTGTCAATTGATGGATGAATGGATAAAGAAAATGTGGTATATATATAAATAAAGGAGTACTACTCAGCTATAAAGCATGAAATCTTGCCATTTGTGACAACATGGATGGACCTCCATGGCATTATGTTAAGTGAAATAAGTCAAAGGAAGACAAATATCATGTGATCTTTGTTTTTTCATAAATGAAAGTAAAATGAAGTAAATAAATGAAGTAAAAAAAAATTCAAGCTGGTAGATACAGAGAACTGATTGGTGATTGCCAGAGGCAGGAGTGGGGGAGGGGGAGAAATGGGTAAACTAGTTTTTTGTTTTTTTTTTTTTTAATTTAAATAAGTTGAATTTTTTTTAATTAAAAAAAAAAACATTGTCTTCCATTTAGACTTTTTATAATGAATGGCAAACTCAATTCAGGAATCTTGTAAGTTTTGTCTAATACTTCTTAAATTGAAAAAGCATCTAACTATACCATGGGTTTGACCATTCTAGCAGTTCCCAAAATGCATTTCACAGAATGCTAATTTTACTGGGTGCCAAAGGCTGCATTACAGATCCATATTGGGAAATACGGATGCAACAAAATTAAATAGGTGTCTTTACTTTAGACCTCAGAACCTTTATTAACTTTCAAGAGGAGAGTAAAATATGCAACAGCATTTCTCAAAGAGTTTATGAAACAGTAAATTTTCTCAGTAAATCAACTGTTGTTCTGGGGGGGGAAAAAACCCCTAACTTGAGATCATCCTGGTTATCATCTGGATCACTGTGAGGATTCTTAGGAACCAAGTGATGTACTATGTAATTCTAATGTAACATTCCAAATCTTAATTTGTCGTTGCTATTAACATGGTGATTTTATTTTATTTTAGAAAACATTATGGTGATTTTAATAGTTCATATTCAAGTAGAAACAATCTTTTGTAAACTTGGTAATTTACTTATTGACCTTGGTGGGAGACAAGATGAAGTACCTGATCCCTCTAAACCTCTTGACTCTGGGGCGCCTGGGTGGCGCAGTCGGTTAAGCGTCCGACTTCAGCCAGGTCACGATCTCGCGGTCCGTGGGTTCGAGCCCCGCGTCGGGCTCTGGGCTGATGGCTCAGAGCCTGGAGCCTGTTTCCGATTCTGTGTCTCCTCTCTCTCTGCCCCTCCCCCGTTCATGCTCTGTCTCTCTCTGTCCCAAAAATAAATAAACGTTGAAAAATAAATAAATAAAAAAAAAAAAACCTCTTGACTCAAATTCTTGATGAAAACGATTTTCCTCACCCTGAAAATAAACTTTGCGGACGTTTTCAGGAGTTACCAAAACTGTAAATGCTGACATTGACATGCTTCTGTATCCACAGGCGACTGATAGCTTTCAATGAAGAAGAAGAAGAAGAAGTGAACTGTAAGACTGGTCCTAAACCAGTCCGATTTCTGGGCCCTTCCACCAGCACCCAAATTAAAGTAAAGAACTCGGCGTCGGTCCGAGTGTCTCCGGCCAGCGCCCTCCACTCTTCAGGCGGAAAGGCAGCGCAGCGTTCTGCGTCGCCAAAGGCCCCGTCGTCGGTGGGCACCGTGCTGCCAGGCCAGCCCCAGGCTTCCCGTGGGGCCAGGAGCGCTGCTGAAAACGGAGCCGCACACCCACCTCCGGCCAAGGTCCTGCTCTCAGACAAGAAAGCCACCCCGCCGCGAGTGATAAAACTGAAGCGAACTCCACTGTGCGCCGCCGGGCCTTCCCCGCCAGCGGGGGAAGCACAGCGACCCGCGGAATCCCCAGCACCGCCCCCGGAAGACCCTGACGCGCACGCGCGGACTGAAAACGGGCGGGGCCAGGCTGATTGACAGAAAAGTGGGTTCCTGACCTCCAGCTCGCCTCTCGGAGCGCCCGACCTGTGTGGTGCAAATAAGTGGCGCTGTTCTTGGTGCAGTAGAGGTGAAAGCTTATGCTGGTCTTTAGGATCGTTATGGGAAAAATGAAGTGAGTCAAGTAGGAATGGAGGAAGGAAGCTTTAAGTGGTTGAGCCTATCATTACTTTTCATTTTCCTTACTTTGACATGGTTTGTCTACTGATAGTTTGAATTTCAGGGTGGTTTTGTTGGGTTTTTGGGGGTTTTTTTTTGATGGTTAATCCGTATTAAGGCAACAAAACAGCACAGTACAATAAAACAGTACAGCAGAACCATCACTAGAGAAGTCTACTTTGTTGCTGAGTAATTACAGACTTTAGGCTCTTTTGTAATGTTACTCATTGCTGCCCAGGGCCAAGAGTGGGATTAGTATTCCCGTCTGCTGAAACAGAATAAGAGAGGGTGGCGTTAATGCTTCCATGCGCTGTATCCCAGCCAAGAGAGATTTGAGAGAAAATGTGCTCCAAGGTGAACCCCCCCACAGGTTACTTTCAGTCTCAAAAGCCGTCATGAAAAGAGATGAGGAGGAAAAAAAGAGTAATTGAAGATCACACTTTGACTCAAAGTATTTTCTTTCCTAGATTGGTTTTTTCTTTGTCTTTTCTGGTAGCAGATTTATTTATACATCACAAGATATCTTGGAATGAGAACCATATAACATGTCTTCAGAATGAATTGTTAAAATGTTTTAATTTAAATAAGTGAAGTTTTGAAAGTACTTTGAAAAAGAAGTTAAACATTAACTTTTAACTAAAGTTACTATTTGTTTCTCAGGAATGACCACCGAAGAGTCATTCTGACCATATAATATGATTTTTATGCATAAAATTCCCATTTAACTTGAACTTAATATTTTTAAGTTAAACAATCTTTTAATTAATCCTCTATTTTTTCACAACTATTCAGTTGTATGTGTTTACTCTTACATGTTAAGTTTTATAATTGGATCCCATATTTCTGCCTTCAGTAAGCAGTATGCCTACAGTGTATTAAAAATAAGTCCATAAAGCAGGGTACTTTTTACTCAATGCTTATCATTGTACTTACATTACTTTGAAAGAGTGAATATACTCAAAACATTACTTTTTACAAAATAAAGTAAAACTTTTCCATAAAAAGTAACATTTTCTGTGACTATACTTTTTTTTTAAGTCCTAGAGCCCATTGGTAGCATGAGAACTTGTTTGTTTATGTAGGTTATCTATTTCTGGTTTCCAAATTTCTTTATTCCCTAGATAATGTATGAAATAATTAAACAAATTTTGTATATCTATTCAAATACCAGCAGCCTTTTAAAATAGGTGTTTTATCTGGCTAGAAAAAAAATGAATATATAACTGATGGTTCATGAACTACATTTCCCTGTAGAATATAAAAAATACTTAGTCACCTTGAAAAATACTATTATAAAGACTCTAAGCATTCTGAAAATCAAAGATCATAGTGAATTTTGAGAACTTCCATTTAGGACATTACTAGTATTGCTTGATCTCGGATATCTTGAATTACTGATTCATATAAGAATATTTTATACCAAGGTACCAATAGATTTGCTTGATGGAGGGTTGCCACAAACCTTCAATCTGTAAAAAAAAAAAATGCAGTATCTATGAAGCACAATAAAGCAAAGTGCAATTAAAAGAGGTTTGCCTGTACTCATGGGTGTTTCTGCGAATAGCCTTCTTTTCTTTGCCTCTAACAGTTTAAAAGGAAGTCTATTTAGCACATCTAGTCTTTGTAAGAAGGGGGTTTTTGGAACAGCTACTAGGCCATGGTGCAGCCAAGGTGGAAAGAGACAAATGGTCCCTGATGGACCATGGGTAGCAAGAGTCAAAGTCAAATTCAGAATGCTCAAGTAATTTGAAAATTACTTTAGTTGGGGTGGTTCCCTGGGGACTAGGTACTTTTGCATGAAATCACATTTCTCCAGATTCTGTAGACACAAAGGAGTAACTCATCATAACCCCCTGGTCTTCCAGGAAAATAAAAAATAAGAAAAGAGAAAGTATGCTTTATAAATAATAGTTCAGTGTCATTACTTTGGAAATGTAGGTTTGTGCGGTTGTTGGGTCAGAGGAGACAAGAAATTCTTATGATGAGTAGGACCTTTAGTACTGCTCGTATCAAAAAGATATAGGATTATGCCCTTCTAGGCAATCTGTGTTGAAAACTGGTTTGTCCTGATTAAAACTGGTTAGTTATATCATGGAAAGCCCTAAGTCTGGCATTTTATATTTTATATTTTTAAATAATAATTTTTTGCTTCAATGTTGCCTTATAAGGCAATACATTGTAATATTTTATAAAGTATCTTCATATACTTTGTTTTATTGTGTTCATTTTGCTTTTTAGTTACAGCACAACAATATAATGAAGGTAGTCTTTCCCAATTCTTTAAAGATCAAGAAAATGAGGTTGAACAACATAAGAGCTGTACAATAATGACATCCCCCATAACATTCCCCCATATTGGCCCCTGAATGACACAACATCACTGAACAAAGGAAAAGCTAGAGGGAGGAAATAGACTAAAATTGTGAATTTGTTTAATATTTAAAGTTGTTGAGCAGTTAGGTATTAAACTATTGGATAACATATCTGTTTCCTACTAGAGAGGGGACTCCATTGCCTCTATATGTGTAATGCCTGGTATGTGGTAGTCCTTCAGTAAATTTCTAAACAGTTAAGGCAATTCTCAGCTTCCTCCCCCACGCCCCAATTCTTTTTTTTAAAATGTGTCTGGTGGCAATCTTCAGGGGGTGTGGAAACTGATTTCCAACCTTGCAGAGTTGATGCAGTCAGAACAAAAGAGGTGGTAGTGGAGGTTCCTTAGTAGGGTGATTACTGCTAATGACCAAAATTACCATTAGTAATGACCATAACAGTTAGATAACTTGTCAAGTTGTTTAAAGTAATCCAGAGCAATGGATCACGAGATCTCAGAGAGGTTGGTGCCAACACTGCCTGACTTCTGAGAAAGGAAAAAAGCAGTCTGGCCTCTCCCCTCCTGCTTTATTGCTTCTGCTAGAATTGCTGATGCAATTTCTTTTTCATTCACAGACTGAGTCCTATTCCAGTGCTAACGCTGAAAAAATTGTTGACTCACTTCCCAGTCTGTGGTTAAATACAGTATAATTATTATCCAGCTATTCCTTGATTTTTAAAGAAGGAATTAACATGCAAGTATATTTGACTTTATCTGAGAAATTGTGCATAGGAGGTCTTTTTATTTAAATAGCATTTTGAACATGCACAAAGACTTGTGGTAATAAATTGTACTGTAAAGGGGAGAATGCTAACATTTGTATGAATATAAGGGTACCTTAAAAGAGATTGCCCCTTAAGGGCACACAGGTGGCCCAGTTGGTTAGGCTTTTGACAATTAATCTCAGCTCAGGTCTTGATCTCAGGGTGGTGAGTTCGAGGCCCCACGCTGGGAACCATGTTCAGCCCCCTGTTTGACCTCATTCTCTGTGTGAAGCCTTCTTAAGAAAAAAAAAAAAAAAAAAAAAAAAAAAAAAAGAATTGCCTTATACCTGCAATCCCTTTGGGATAGCTTTAATTTATATTTGGTAGGATGTTGGTTAGATACTAAGTGGAAAGTATGAATTGGATAAAATGAAGGGAAAGAACTGCTATAGCAAATGGAAAGTATTCAAATTATTTACATATGTGTATTCCTAAGTTAACTAGGAACTTTCTAATGATGGAAAATACTGTCATTTTCCCATATGCGGAAACAGCCTTGAAAACTGTCAACAAGTTGCTGATTCCTCAGTGAAGAGTGGATGAGTGATTCTTTGTTGAGGGCTGCAGTTAGTATGCATGATTTCAAGCCAAAAAAGGAAACATCATGAATAGCTAACAGAAAAAAATTGGTTTCCAGCTGTTTTCAGAATTTCCTATTCATGGAATTTGGTTGGTGGTGCAGCCTCAAAGGGGCCATTTTCACTTACAGTTCTGTCAGCCTCATGAGATACACATGGCTTACACATTCTTACACATTGTTACAGAAAAGCTAATTTTTCTTTGTTCACATGTGTTGTCTTGGACAGCCTGTATACATTTCATATTTGATAGCTAGACGGTTCCTGATGTAGGCTCTGGCTAAGACAAATAGAACTTTATAGTAACTGTCAGTCAGTATTCTTCCCTACTTGTTTATTTAACAACTTTTCATGCTGTATTGTTGCTTCTCATACTTTCGTTCCCTTCCTTTACTCCGAAGCCCTCATTACCTTAGTAAAAATTTTTCCCAGCTACAGAAATGAACTGGGGGCCTGAAGCCTTGAAGAGAAACTTGTTTTATTTTAAAAAAAAATTTTTTTTTTCAACGTTTATTTATTTTTGGGACAGAGAGAGACAGAGCATGAACGGGGGAGGGGCAGAGAGACAGGGAGACACAGAATCGGAAACAGGCTCCAGGCTCCGAGCCATCAGCCCAGAGCCTGATGCGGGGCTCGAACTCACGGATCGCGAGATCGTGACCTGGCTGAAGTCGGACGCTCAACCGACTGCGCCACCCAGGCGCCCCAGAAACTTGTTTTAGACAGAGAGCATGTTACAGAAAGAAAAAGGGAGTATATTTGCTAGGTGGGAAAAGGCAACTATTGCTTCTGTCTGCCAAGATTTCTTAAAACTTTGGACATTCTGCTTCAATAGCAGCTCTTTCAAGAACTCAGCCCTTAACTTCTCGGTTGGGAACTCAACTTCTATGTAGATGACGGGAATAGGCCAAGGGCTTCAGAAGCTATATATTTAAACTTCAGCTGTAGGTTATACAGTCTGGATTTGGTAAGCTAGGCTGAACCAATCAAGAACCTAGCATAGCTAGGGGAACAAGGCAACATGTGCCTGCTCATCAGCTCTGTTTCTCTTTCCTTCCTCCAAACCCCTTGTACCCTCCAGATGAGGGTTTTTCTTTTTCTTTTTTT